CGCATTAATAGAGCGTCCCCTAGCACAAATAATTAGAAGAGCACGTAGGAAATGTGATCTATAAAATCTTGTGAAAGTAACAACTAGTTGAATAGGTAGTAACTACGTATAACGAATTACCTAAAATCACAATTTCTCATGAACTCACTAACAAGAAGGCGGCACGTGCCTAAGTACACGAATTACCTAAAATTACAATTTGTCACGAACTCATTAACAAGAAGGCGACGTGTGCCTAAGGCAATTTCCAACGTTGCACCAAACTAAAATTCATCTACAATCATTACACCAAATGAAAAGTGCTTAACCTTTTTCTTTCCTTTTTATTATTCTTAATAATTTATTTATTTGAAATATTATTTATTTCATTATTTTATAAATAAATAAATTACTAACTAAATAATTAGGTTAAATTGCGGAAAAGATTAAATTTATTAATAAATATAAAAAACATAGTACAATTAATAAAAATACTACAACAATGAAAATATTAAATCACGCCATTATAAAATAGTGCAATTCATTTTGAATTAGGATATTATGATATTACGAAGTCGAAATATTATTGCAATTTAATTCTTGAAATTCATATCGTTTTTTTAAATAAAATTAAATTATCGTATGTATGTCGTCGTTTAATATATTTCGTGTTAACTTTAAGAAATAATCGTGTTTGTTATATTTAAAATTTTTCTTCTTCTTTTAATTAATTATTAATTTTATTTTTTACATTTAAATTTTATTTTAAATGCAAATAATAATAATAATAATAATAATAATAATAATAATAATTTATTGTATTAAAAAATATATAGCACAAATAACATAAATATTCTTAATTAATTTATTTGAGAAATGAAAATAAAGGATAAAAACGACTTTGTACACTTTGCACTATTTTGTATCAAACTAAGATGCACATCATAGTAGAAGTTTTTAGTTTTTATACTCTTCGTTTTAACGTTACACTTAAATAATAATCATTGAGATCCTTGGTATTTTGTCAAGAGAAACTTCACTATTTACGTTAAATCAACTATAGTGTGACGTGTAATTAAGAACGAATTTATTTATTTTGAGGGTATAGGAATGTATGAAAAAATCAAACTGTGTCCGTGAAACCGAATATCCGGTTGAAGTCGTTTGATAGCATTGATAATGACAAATATGATGGTGATTGGTGAAATGAACTCTAACCTATTATAAATGTTGAGCCCCCATCGTCGCGTCGCTAGAATTTTGTGAGGGAGATAAATCGCAGAATGTGTTTCATCAGGTCAAGGAATAAGAGCTGTCAATTCACTGCGCCGATAAGAAATCCAATTACATGTCTCAAAAATCGAATCTCAACACTACAACTGCCAACAAGACAATTTGAACCTATTATAACTGTCACCTTGATAGTAAAATTTGATAGAGACAAAATTGAAACTGGAATAACTAATCCCTTTTTCTAATTCAAAATTTTGGACCTCAAAGGATAAAATAAAATAAGCCCCGTTTGGTAACAATTTTTCACCCCCAAAAAATCAATATTTTGATTGTTATTTCAATATTTCGGTTGTCATTTTTTATTGCTTCACTCGCAGGTGGAATCCACTTTTTTTCATAGCGGTCAAAAAATTAATTCTCTTAATTACTATCGAACAGACCCTAAGAGCCTGTTCGGAAGCAATTTTTACCCCAAAAAATTGATTTTTTTTATCGTTATTTCACTATTTCAGCATATTTTTTGACTTCTCCACTCACAGGTGATCCCCACTTTTCTCCTAACGGTTAAAAAATCAATTTTCAAAATCAATATCGAACAGACCTTAAAAATCATCAATCATAACATTGATAAGTCGTCTCTTGACCAAAAATCCCTATTTATTATCATTCGTTGATTTATCTAAATCAAACATGCAATAGTTGAGCCTCTATCGTGCTATTCTTGGTCCAACACATTTTTTTGTTTTTAATAAAGACGTGGCATGTTAAAATATAAATTTTACATCGATTATCAATAAAATAAATACTATATATAGAGAGAGAGTTTTCAGTTAACCATCTTAACATTGCTGCTGCCATACGAACAGACTCGATGCCTCGCTAGAAGAGGCGTAACAAGTTGTGTCGACCCTAAAGGGAATACGAAAAAGGCAAGCTACTCTTGAAGTCCAAAGAGGATACGATTCCCGTAAGACTTCATAACAATCATATGTACTGTATAGGGAAAATATTCATTCGATTGCATTCGTGCTGCCAATAAATTTCTACCTCTTATTCCAATTTTTCAGATAAAAAATTGAGCACCCAAAGTATAATCCATCAACCCTTTTTCCTCTAAGGCGTCACTTGTGACATAAAACTAAGCTTGTTAATGTTATCCAAAACTAACGCCATGTATTGTAAATATTCATTAAAACTCCTTTTTTTTTTCAAATTTTTTTTCCGCATGTGAACTCCTAACTTTTTCTTACTTTTTAACCACACATTTTGAAATAAAAAAAAAATCCTTAATTACAAAATATATTATCAAAAAATCTGCATTAATAGTTTGTCAACTTCGTCTTTCTAGCGTAGTTGGCTTCTAATCAGTTGATCAATGTCTCGTTCTCCAAGCTGTGAACAAATTGGTTTTCAGTATTCAAAAGTTTCAACTTAACCAAGTGACACAACAACATCGAATTGGGCACATATATACAAATAGTTGATATATAGAATAGTCAACGTGACATTGAACTTAATGGCTTCGTGTGTTTGTCATGACCCCGAGTTGCACAATAATTATAAATTAGTCAACTTAATAGATGGTGCTATTTTATATAGAAAATGCTACAGCAATGGGGGGTTGACAGCCCCCCTAACCGAACCCCACCAATAGGGGATCCCCTTATATGTTGACTTTTATATTTAAACTTAACCTATGCAAGATTAATTATCTTTTAATGTTGGCTCATTTAAGAATACCAATTTTAAAATTCAACAGTCTATTTGAGCTTTAAACATATTGATTTGCTCATTTGCTCTTCTTGGTTCTACACTTAGGGTTTTGTCTTAAGACCGCTCGTTTGACAACACCAATTTGAAATGTGTGCACTCCAAGTCAAGTCGAATTAGGGCTAGAAAAAATTCCCGAATTGAACGGTTCTTCTCAAGTTAAATGCCCGAACGAGTATCTGAATTGAAAATCGACGGGATAGGTTCGGTTCAATTCTGGTTGTAGATCAAGAATAGAAAAATCGAATTTTCCTATATTTTTTAATTAGTTTATTTTAAATAAGTCAAAAATTATTTTTTTAAAATAAATTTGCTAACTAATTAATTTAGTTCAAACCCAAAAATATGATTTTTCCTATTTCTAATTTTCAGTTCAAAGTCAATTTAATCAAATTGACCTAAGTTTCACCCAAATATATTACTCTACTGTAATGTCGTTTCTACCATTCTGAAAAAATCGAATTGAAGCTTGACAATGATTTTCTTAATTATTTTCAACTCGCTCTCTTCCTCTTTTTGTGATTTTAACAATCAAATTGATGAAAAACTCAGTAAAGAGATACGCAAAAGACACATAAGATTGGACTACGTTATTTTTTAAGAGTTAAGATTAAACATATCATTAGTTGAATTAATATAATTTTGTAAATATTAAAAAAACTTAATCATGATACAAAACTTAGGAATCAAATGGAACCGAACTGAATCAAATTGAACCGAACCCGAGCGGTTCCATAATTAAATTTGAATTCCACAGTTCCACTTACTAAATACCCGAAATTTTCTGGTCTGATTCGATCCTCATTAAAATGGAATCGGACTGAACCATGTCCAGCCTAGATAGAAGTGCTCATTTAAATTTAAAAGACTCATACTACATTGATTAAGCCCCCGTTTGGTCCCCATTAAATTACATTCCATTACATTCTATTTTTCTCTTTTCTATTTTCAACCACACAATCTTCTATAAAGTAATATTACACGTAAATCAAAAACTTTTCCTTCTTTTTCAATCTCTTATTTTTCAAAAAAACACTATTCCTCCCATTTTCATTACCGAAAAATGGGGGTCAAACATGGGCTAAGATTATAGATTTCATCTTAAGATGCCCACACAATTAAGCTTAGTCTTTTATATATTGTGTATTTAATTCATCATTATTTATGAGGTTTTTTTTTTTTTTTTTGGCCCACATAAAAGTTTTGGGCATATGGATGATATCCCATGAGACACTTTGATTACTCGACAACTGATATGGCACTGTTAACATTGATTAGGGTCCAATTAATGTAGATTTTTTGAGAATGAATTTTGAAAAAAAAAATAATAATAAATTTTTTTCAGAATGCGTATTAAAAAAATTGAAAAAAATTTATTAATTCGTGTGAAAAATTTTTATTGAGAGAATAATTAATTGAAAAGAATTTTTAAAAAAATGATTTTCCAAAATTTGAATCAAACATTGGCTTAGAGTCTGTGTGTGGCTGTAATGTATTTAATTCAACCGCATCAATTACACCACAAGTTGAAGCTTGAACAGTTGAACTGAACAATCAAATTTATAAAAGACAGCACAAGTCATGATATGCATAAAAAAATTGTTCATTATATATCTTAAAATATAGCTTTTGTTGAAGAAATCATCTATAAAGTATACAGATATAATAAAATTCAACGATAGACACAGTTATTAAATTGTCTATTATAAAATTAGCTAGTCTTATTCCAACACAGTTAATTCTAGATGATTTTGTATCTTGTATTTTCAAGATTTTAGATGAACTGTCGAATCGAAGATTTTCTTCTGCATAATCAACCACTTTTGTAGTTTCTTGATCGCTCGCTCGCACAGTCGAGGAGCAATTAGGCATAACATCCAAGCGATATCAAGATCATAATCAACGAACTAAAATAGTTTTGCCTCTAACAATTGAAGCTCTTTCGATTCATCAGCTTTGAATTCCAATTTCTCATTCACCCTAACATCATTTTAGCAAGTTAATATATGATTTCGATGTGATCATTAGAAACTGCATTCTTCATCAAAGAGGCCTAACAAAGAAGAAGAATCCGCAGGGAGATGAGATATTACAACACTTCATTTTATTTCCATCTACGAATACTGAAATTTTTAAAAGCAGCACACGTTATTGGACTCTCGTAACGTTAGTACTTGGCAAGACTTGAACTCCACAGACAGCAAAAGCTCACAATAAATACAAAAGAAACACTTATTAAGAAACCAGCCAAACGGGGTACGGAATGATCGGCCGGAATTGATCAGGTTTCACCGGTAGGTTCTGTAATATGGAGTGTACATGCAGCTTTCAGCATGCTTGACCAGATCTGAAGGCCGAGGAAGTCTCGTTGCCAAACCTAAATTACATGCAAATTTTCGTTAAGTTCACGTCTTAGAATGAGGAAAACCGAAATAAAGCAAAAAAGAAGTGGGGCATTTACCGAGTTCATATGCTTTAGCAGCTACATTTGCAGCAATATTAGCTGAGATCTTTCTTATGTTAGAAAGTGGTGGGTAAATCATTCCCTTATAATAATGTTCTTGTGTTACTTGACCGGCCAAAGCTTCAGCTGTTATGAAAAGATTCAGACGACAATAGAAGGATAAGATAATTCACGACAAGAAGAAATGAAATTTAAATCAAATCGACTATGTACTTACATGCTGCCAATAGCATATCATCGTGCACACGGATAGCACCAGAGATGACCAAACCAAAACCAAGCCCGGGAAAGATGTAAGCATTGTTTGCCTGAATTTACACCCAGAAAATGAATCTCAATCTACAATCTTCCACAATTTAAGAAAGTCAAATGGCACTAATAAAAGTCGAACACGTATGCTACCTGGCCAGGAACATAAGTTTTGCCATTGTACTGTACCGGGTCAAATGGACTTCCACTAGCGAAAATTGCACGACCCTTTATTGAAACAAGACAAAAAATACGAGGTAAAGTTAATTTTACTGGAAAGATTAAAACTATGATGATTTATCAGCATTGTAGCAATCTGTAGAAAATCTTAATACTCATCTGACCTCAGACCATGCATACGCTTCTTCAGCAGTGCACTCAGATTGAGAAGTTGGATTTGAAAGAGCCATGATAAGAGGTTTCTGTGTATCATTTGAACCACGATTAGTTTAGTCTGTGTAAAACATCATTTTTTTTTTTTTGGGGGG